TGCCCTTATCGCTCTCTACAACTCCCTGACAGGAGGTTGTAGCCAGGTGGAGGTCGGTGTCTTCTCCCAGGCAACCAGCAGTGGTACAAAAGGGCACAGATTCAAACTCTGCCAGGGGAGATTTAGGTAGGATATTAGGAGGAGATTTTTTTACGGAGAGAATTATCAGGCATTGGAATGGGCTGCCCAGGGAGGTGGTGGATTTACTGTCTCTGGAGGGTTTTAAAATGAGACTGAATGTGGCACTTAGTGCCATGGTCTAGTAACAATGGTAGGGTTGGACTTGAGGATCTTTGAGGCCTTTTCCATCCAGTTGATTCTAAGATTCTATGATTTTCCCCCTCTACTCTGCTCTTGTGAGATGCCACATAGATTGCTTCATCCAACTCTGGGGGCCCCAGCACAAGAAGGGATATGGGCCTGCTGGAACAGGTGGGACACAAGCTGGAGCACCTCTGCAATGGAGGCAGGCTGTTAGAGTAGGGACTATTTGGTCATTCAAAGTAAGCACAGTGAGATCAAACAATTTCAACCCTCCCAAAATTCCCACTTCCAAAGGACTCCAGCAACTCCTTTGTTATATTTAACACCCCCATGCAGATGTCCAGGACCCCAGCATGCCAGGATGCAGAGCTGCCCCAGCAGAGTGCGTTTCCCAGCATAGACCAGGAGAGTCTGGACTCTGCTGGACCCCATTGTCCCTAGATTCTAAGGCAAGCTGTTCTGCCCCTGCTCTCTCCAGCTGGGATGCTGGCAGGGGAATATTCTTTCCTCAGGGAAGACTTGGAAATGAGCAAGGCCTGGGGTCTCACCTGTAGCTAGGTGTCCATGTCTAAGTCTCAGTAGTGTTTGACTGACACCCCCAATGTGAATGAAGATATAAATTATGTCAAAATACAGTTAAGGAGTAAGACTTTATTATTGGTCACACAAGGGGGAGAGAAGGGGCGATTGGAAAGTTAGGAACAGGAAAGGAGAATAGTTAGAAGCAAGCAAAATTTGGTGTGCCAAAACAGAAATAGTCACCACCATAGATCCAACTGATGCCAAAAAAACCTGGAAAAGAACTACTCAAAGATTTGAATCTCTGAGGAGCAGGTATTTCTTTATTCAGCTCTGGGAACAAGGGGGATCGCTCCACTGAATTTGTGCAACCAGGGACAAAAACTTCACAGTTTATATACATTTAATGCTCATACATATTCATTATTTCCAGGTATAGGTGGCAATTATTATGATTAGCTCTTGGAAATTATTGTCAGAATATCCTCCTTCATCTCCTCCCACTTGGCATTAGTCCCATGGCCCCTGGTGGTTGTCCGGGGGTTGTCAGGAGGAAGGCCGATGGTCTTCATCAGGTTCATCTTTTCACCTTTGAGTTTGGCACAGGCTCTTTGGTCTCGCTCTTCAGCTGCCAGGTCCTGGGTCCAGCTGCATCTAGTTTTACTCCCTCACAAATACATTGTGCTTACACTTCCTAATCTAAAAAAATGCCCTAAGTTCTCCCCTTTTCATGCTTAATAAGCTACAACTATGCCTTATTAGTCAACGTTTTACCTTCTGTTTATTCAGGTGCTCTCTACTTGACTATTCCCTGTCCTAATCTCAGCTTTAACTTTTTAATTCCCATTATCACAGCAGCATTCTGATCCATAGTCATCTTTTCATTGGCAGTGGATGCACACCTTCACTCTGGATGTGGGTCCTTTTTTATAGCCTCTGCCAGGACACTGATTGGTCAACTCCCCTGGAGATGTAGTGTGAGCTCATAGCAATTCCCAGAAAAGGCACCTCATGTGTGTCCAGAGATGCAGTCAGAAATTCACAGTGGACTGCACCCCATTATCTTAGCAGCTGGAGGATTACCATGGCCAGAGGCATCCAGTGGCTCAGCAAGCTTTGAGGCTATCAACCAAGCCTTTGCCACACAACAAGCCATCAAAGCCGGGTAATGTCAAAACAAATATTTCTTTGCTTTTCACGTTGATGCCGAGAAAGGGCTGGAAAAGAAATACTCACAGACTTGTATCTCTGAGTAGCAGGAATATGTTTATTCAGCACTGGGCACAAGGGGGATCGTTCCACCAAACCTGTGCAACCAGGGACAAAAACTTCATAGTTTATGTACACTAAATTCTCATACATATTCATTAGTTCCAGGAATGGGTGATTATTATTATAATGAGTTCTTGGAAATCATTATCATATACTCCTCCTCCGTCTCTTCCCTCTTGGCATCAGTCTCATGGTCCTGGTGGTCGTTGGGTGGTCGTGAAGATGAAGTGTCTCCTCTTCCTCAGTGCCCTTTGGACACCCTTATTGTGCAGCCATTTACCCCTTTGTACAGTTTTGCATTCCTTGCTGACCTTGCCTCTATCTTGATCATTTTGTTTCTTCATTCCACACCTTATATGGTCCTACTGCCAAGGTTTGAGTCTAGTTAGTTCTACTGTCTTATAGATAAGTTGCATCGTTCCACCAACCAAGCCAAAGCAATACCATTAGTGAAACTTCTTGTCTGTACTATGCAATCCTTGCTATTTTGCTAATTAAGCTGAAATAGTGCCGTTATTAAAGCTATTCTTTATGCTTTCAGCTTTAACCATTCAATTCCTGCATTCAGTCTACTTGGTATCTAAAGGACTTGGGGAGTGAGGAGGCAATTGGGAATCTTTCACTCTTCCTACTCAGCAGCACAGAGGAGGTTGGGAATAGATGATATTTAAGGTCCTTTCAAACCCTTAGAGTTCTATGACTCTATAAGGAAACTATCTTAAATTTCTTGTCCCCTCCCTACCTAAAGGTGGAAGGCAAAAAGAAAACGATTTCTACATTCCTCATCCATCACAGGGTTTCATTCTTTGAGATGATGAAGGACAGAGGAAAGAACAAAGAAAAACACTGAGAAGCAACACCAAAAGAGACTATAAAAGAGTGGTTTTAAGTCTCCCCTTGGGTAAGATGGGTAATCTCCCCATTGAGGAGGCAATGTCAGTGTTCCAGGGACCCCAATTTCTTTTCACAGTAAGGAGAAGGAAGGCAAATACCACAAACGCCATAGAATCAACATGGATGAAGGACCACAAACAGCTCTCACAACGAATTCGAACTCTACAGGAAGCTTTCCAGAACATGCAGGAGTCCACAGAGTGCGACCACGAGTGCCAGAGAATAGGCCTGGAGAACAAACTAGGTGAGCAGGACCATTATCCAGAAGAGACTGGAATCCAGTCTGGAAAAGGACATCCATGAACTATCAGAGCAGAGGAAATGTGCAAAACACACTGGGTGAGCATGGCCGATCCCCAGCAGGCCTTCATCTCTCTGAAGGCAAAAGCTGCTCTACAAGCAAACCATCCTATGAGCTAGACCTTCACTCCCCTGCAAAGTGGATGCATTGGGCAGACTCTCCTTGGGAGCAGTTCTCATGTCCCATGCCTGTGGAAACCCTAGTTTCCAGGGTGGGATCTGGTGGTGGTGAAAGTCCCTCTGCACTCCCTCATCTTTGGAGGGAGTGAAAGAGCAGTGTTTTCTCAGTTCTTTCTATGAGGAAAGGCCCTGTCTCATTTAAGGGACAAGAGCTGCCCTAAGGGAAGCATTGTCCCAGTGACACCTGTCCTTTTTTTTTTTACAGGAGGGGCAGAGGAAGCATATACCAGAGGGGCCCTGGAATCCATGTGGAAGGAGGACCTGCAGCAGCTCTCCCAGCAAATTCAAGCTCTGCAGGAAGCTTTCCAGAGTGGGCAGGAGTCCACACAGCGTGACCTTGAGCTCCTCAGAGCAGAACTGGAGAACAAACTAGGTGAGCAGGGCTATTCCCCAGTAGGCCTTCATCTCTCTGAAGGGAAAAGCTGCTCTACAGGCCTATCATCCTGTGAGCTAATCCTCAACATTTCCTCTGTGTGGATTGAGAAACAGACTTTTGGTGGCCAGTAGCTCTTTTGTATCTCCTATTGAAACATCTCTATGCTGAGGTTTGAACTGCAGATGATCAAGGACTCTCCTTATTCCCCTGTATATAAGAAAATGTGTCCCCCTGAATTCTGTGAGTTGGACCCTTTAGGGAGGAGAGGAATAGAGGAATATGAAAGTCCTAGATGGAGACCATAAGAGCTCAGACCTTTCCAAGCCCTGCTCCCTTTCCCCTTGATACAGTGCCCAATCAGCCTGTCAAGTGTCTGCAGGGGTAACTGGTGCAGGAAAGTCACCTTTGGTTCTTGACATGCCTTTCTCTGTGAAAGACCATATCCTTTTTAATCTGCTCTGGCCATTCCTCTGGATTCTCTTACCCATATGAAGATTCAGGAGAGGCTGAACTCATGTCACAGCAGTTTTTAGTCCTTCTTGGACTTCACAGGGAACAAATTGGTGTCAGATACTCCGTGTCTGGATGGCCTCAGTGTTACCTAGGGCAGACAGTTGGTCAGCTAACTCTGTTTGGATCCTTTCAGTGAGCTTTGACAAGTATACTCATTGCCTGCTTTTTTCTTTTCTCTCAGGCATTTCAGAGCTACGGTCCTATAGAGGTAAGTATATGGGAGATGATGTAGGTGAGTACTCTGAGTCTGAGTTAAGCTCTGGAAAACACATCCAACCCCCTCAGAAAGCTGCTTGGAGAAGAGCATGATCAGAGGAAGGGTTGTTTGATGGCTTTTATAACTGTCATGTATACTGCCAAAGTCCCTGACCATGCTTGTCAGGAGCCATCTCAGCTGTGGGGAGCAAGGATAGTTGCTTGCACTGGCCACTGCAGCTCCCATCTCCCACTCCTGCTTTGGCCTCTTTGGCTTTTCAGAAAAAGTGTTTGGAGCTGATTTTGTTCCACTGGAGGAGCAGCTTCTTCTTTAAACCTGATCTGTACTAGAGGATCTCACTTCATGACATTTCACCTTGCTCAAGACATGACAGTTGAAAGGGAGAAGTCTGAGGTCCCCTGAGGCAAGAGGCTGTCAAGTGCACCTGAGCATGGAGGTGGGGGAAGAACAAATTAGAGATGGATGAGGGCAGAGAAGAGAAAGGCTCAGAGAAGCAGAGCTTGTGTTTTCTGCTCCTTATGGAATGTCTTGATCATTGCAGGGGATGTCACCCTGGATGCTGACACAGCTCATCCCAGATTGGAAATCTCTGCAGATGGGAAGAGAGTGAAAGATACTGGTTTCATCAGAGATTTACCCATCAAGGAGAAGAGATTTGATTCCCACACTTTTGTGTTGGCAAAGGAAGGATACACATCTGGGAAACACTACTGGGAAGTAGTTGCTGGCACAAGGAGAAGTTGGGCCTTGGGTATTGCCCTGGAATCTGTGACCCGCAAGGGGCCATTGACTCTGTCCCCTCAGAATGGCTTCTGGGTCATTGGGTGTGCAGATGGGAGAGACTGTTGGGCCTACACAGATCGTTGGACCCGTCTGAGTGGGAGTGGGAAGCTGCAATACATTGGGATCTTCCTGGACATCCCAGCCAAGCAGGTGACTTTTTACAATGTCCATAAGAAAGCAGCAGCTCTGTACACTTTTAGCCTTGCTGATGGCAGCATCCAGGAAGGGAAATTCATTCCCTTCTTCTCCACAGGCCATGCTGCTGCAGAGCCTGACACTGAGCCTCTGGTAATAGTCTAGTTTTATGATGTTGATTAGTTTTCATTTCAAAGATCTTTAATGTGCCATCAGTCATCAAATCACGTTGTAATCAATCAACTGCCACCAGTCTCCTGAAGAAAGGTAAAGAAGGAGATAGCATATCTCTCATAGTGGCCAGGTCTGAAAATTTTACGTTTTGTATCAGACTGAAATGTTTTTGTAGGAAATTTTCTGTGCTTAAGAAAAAGGAATGTTCTTTCATGGTTGTATGTCAGAGGACTTCCTGTGGAAGGTGTGTTTTTCTGAAAAATAAATGTCCTTTTCCTGTTAGTCTGTGATCTGCCATTTTCTTGAGGAAGGACAGTGCTACATAGGCTATGTGGGCACCTGGCAGCCTGTCAAGTTCAACTTAAGAATGGGGCTTATATTTTCCTTTTTCCAGTCATCAGGGACTTCACCTGACCGCCACAATTTCTCAAAATTTATAGATAGTGTCAACACACTTCTCTCGAGAGTGGGTCAGGCTGACAGGCGAGTGCTTCTGTGCCTGTCAAGGTTAAGTCTCCTACTACTATTGATGCCGAGAAAAGGCTGAAAAAAAATTACTCACAGACTTGTATCTCTGAGTAGCAGGTATTTGTTTGCTCAGCGCTGGGCACAAGGGGGATCTTTCCACCAAACCTGTGCAACCAGGAACAAAAACTTCACAGTTTATATACATTAAATGCTCACACATATTCATTAGTTCCAGGAATGGGTGGTTATTATTATAATGAGTTCTTGGAAATCATTATCACATGCTTCTCCTCCGTCTTCTCCCTCCTGGCATCAGTCTCATGGTCCTGGTGGTCGTTGGGTGGTCGTGAAGATGAAGTGTCTCCTCTTCCTCAGTGCCCTTTGGACACCCTTATTGTGCAGCCATTTACCCCTTTGTAGAGTTTTGCATTCCTTGCTGACCTTGCCTCTATCTTGAACATTTTGTTTCTTCATTCCACACCTTATATGGTCTTAGTTTTCCTCCTACTGCCAAGGTTTGAGTCCAGTTAGTTCTACTGTCTTATAGGTAAGATGCATCATTTAACCAACCAAGCCAAAGCAATACCATTAGTGAAGCTTCTTGTCTGTACTATGCAATCCTTGCTATTTTGCTAATTAAGCTGAAATAGTGCTATTAGTAAAGTTATTCTTTATGCTTTCAGCTTTAACTGTTCAATTCCTGCTTTCAGCCTGCTTCTCGGTATCACTATCATCCACCTCGTTTTCTCAGTTGGGCTAGTTTTAGTTTTCTTTTTCTGTGGGGCAGGACTCTCTGCTGTATGTCAATGTCTCTTTTGTCCTGGGAAGCCCAGAGCAGCAGGTGTAGTCTCTCCAGTGCTGAGAAGAAGGGAAAGATTACCTGTCTCATCTTGCTGCCTCACTCCTAATTATAGTATGTCAAGGGAGTGGAATAGGCTTTAGAGATCATCTAATCCCAACCCTCCATCCCTAAACAGAGATACCTCCCACCAGACCAGGTTGCTCAAGGATTTATCCAACCTGTCTTTGAACACTGACAGACTTGGGGCATCTTCAATGAGGGAATGAAGCCTAGAGAGACTTATCTGACAGTGCTGTGCTGTGAGCCCTGCAAGGTCGTTGCTCAGTAATGTGTTTGAACATAGTGATGCAGGGGACAGTGAGGTGGTGAGGAGGGACCTGGAGCACCAGAAATCAAATCCCACATTTCCCCATCCATCTGCATTACCTACCAAGCGCACCCAGGTCCTTGAGCAAAAGAAATGGATGGGTTTGCCTTTGCTTGGGGCAGGACTAATCCAAACCATCTTTCCTAGCTGTCCTGGTTTTAGCCAGGATGGGGTTAATTTTCTCAGTAGCTAGTGTAGTGCAGTGGTTTGAATTCAGAAGTGATAATACATTGTTGTTTTGGTTTTGCTGGGTTGTGTTTATCATAACCAAGGACATTTTCTTGCCTGTGTCTCATGCTCTGCCAGTGAGAAGATACACAGGAAATTGGGAGGGAGCATAGCTGGGACAGGTGAGCTGAACTGGCCAAAGGGATATTCCCCAGCATGGCACGTCATGCCCGGTGTTCCAGGCTGAAGGGGCCGATCCTGGGGGAGGTTCGGGGTGCTCTGGTCCGCGGGTGCTGAGCAATTGTATTGTACATCACTGATTTTGGTTTCTTTTCATTATCTATTGGCATTGTGGCTCATTCTGCTCTGTATTGTTATTAAACTGTCCTTATCTCAACCCACATATTTTACTCCAGTTGTTCTCCTCCCCATTCCTCCGGGTTGGGGGTGAAGAGCGGGGAGGAGGGAGTGTAAGCAGCTGCTGGTTCTTGGCTGCTGGCTGAGGTTAAACCACGACACATCCTCAGAGAGGCACTTTTCCAGGACACATCTACCAGGGCAGTGCCAGCAGAGAGGGCACCCATATATCACTTGGTGTAGGGGACAGCAGCTCCCTCCCAGGACATGTGGCCCCACCAGTCAGGAGTGAAGCAGCAAACCCAGCTCTGGTCAGAGGCTTCACTCAGAGGCAGAGGAGCAATATCATCCTCCCACTGCTGAACAAATCCTTTAGAACTTGCCACCCACAGGCCCTCTGCTGACCAAGGTGCTGCAAAAGGGGCACTGTAAACAGTGGGTGGGTGCCCATGGTACTGGCCTGGGCTGCAGGAATCACCCTGGGTGATGGTAAATGCTGGAGGGATGCGGGACCTGGAGAACCAGCAAAGCCTCCTTGTGTGTCCTTCTGGGCTGAAGGGATGCACCTGGCAATGGAGGTGCTGTTTTCTGTG